GCAGGAACAGACAGAAACAAAGATGGTTCTTACTTTCCATGATGGAAATAGGAAAGGAAACAAGGATTATCTGAATGGACCTCTGTTTTTTATTTTTTATAAGACAAATAGTACAAAAGCAGTGAACGCACTGCTTTAAACATTCATTACTCTGTATATAAGGCATGCACAACTCTTAGGTCAGTAGGTTCTCAGATAACATTATCCTACATTAATTTTTATATGTGTTTTTTTTAATGGTAAATAAGGGTTATACAGTGTGTTGTTAATTGCAAAGCTCCTCTATTTAAAAAAAAAAAGAAGAAAAAAACCCTGCAAGGTCTGAAAGAGAACAAGTCTCAGCCAGGTCAGAAAAAGTAACTGAAAAGTAACATATTTTACTTACCAGAAAAAGTAACTAAGTAACACAACTAGTTCCTTTTTGGGGGGAGTAACTCAATATTGTAATGCATTACCTTCTGAGGTAACCTTCCCCAACACTGTCAGTGTATTTCATTCCATCGTCACACAACCGCTGAGAATTATGTTATACAGCTTAATTCACACAAGTGTGGTCCCCTTCTAAATCAACTAAATCCCAGCTCACACTGTGTGATTTTTTTTTTAATAATCTTTATGAACATGATCACCTCTCAACATCTCAGTTTTCATCATGTCAGACCAAACACAGACACGCTCAGGATCAACTTGTCAGGAGTTTGATGTCATAAAACCATGACATGTTCAATATCCTACATTCTGAAATAATGCCTCACAGCAAGCATGAACAGTAGCATTATTTTTAATTGTATTTTGCTTAATAATAAAACTAGAAAGAAAAAAGCATTTATACATTTGGTTGAGGTGGTTTAAAGTTTGCTTCTTGAATCATCAGGTTCAGTGACTGTCATCGTACTGTAAGAGGAGTCGCATTGCAGGGAAGTGTCTGAAATCTTTGCTTAAATTGACACTGCCAGATTTGTATTACAAAATTCATCTTAGCATGTCAAACCACCAGTCAAAGACCACAGGTTTTAGCCTAGGATTAGAGTATTATTGGAATCTTTTCATAGTCTGGCTTAAAGTCAGTGTAAACTGGAAGTTGCTGTGACTTTAATTTCAGCATGTTGATGTACATCAGTTCCAATTGAAATGGAAAATTGAGCAGGAGCTGTGCTTACTTTTGGCTCCCAGCAGATCATGAGACGTTAATATTAGGTTAGATTTAGGTCATGACATCAGATGACCAAAATTCAATGTGCAGCCAGCGTCTAAGGACAACATTTTTTTGACATCCAATAGTGACGTCAAATTACTTTAATATTTGGTTGATTTTAGGTTGTTTTGGAAAGTGACCAAAATCCAACATCTGTAAGACGTCGTAATGGTAACGTCCACACAACATCAAGGTGTAACATGATTAGACGTTGATATTTGGTTGATTTTACGATGGTTGTTGGACATTGATGTCCGTCTGACGTTGAGTTCAGACGTCAACCTGATTTTCATTTCTAAACAAAATTCAACCCCACAACGTTGGGGTACGTTGAGGTACATCAGCAAGATGTCATGTTGACATCCTGTGCTTGCAGGAATCATTAACCTACATAGCAAACTAACAGGGAGAGGGGTGTGGTTAAGAATACTGTGGCTGAAGGCATCAAAATGATGTCAACAGAGATGGACCACCACTCCAAATGTAAAACGCGAACAATCAGAGTTTGATTGAAGACTTGAAGATGGATTTATTTTTCACCTAAGAATAAGAAGCAAAACAAAGATGGTAAATTTTGATTTCACACAGACGTTAATTTTGCAAAAACTGTTTAACTGTAATATCAGTAACAATACACAAAACGAACACAAACTTAAACATTCATAATCAACATCACAATGAAAACTGTGTAACATGAAACATTGGAGTCTCTGATCCATAAAGAGCGTCCCACTGCTAATCACAACTTTGTGATGAGGCTCATGCGGAGCTCATCTCGTAAATACGATCATTCCTGCATGACTCTGAGGCGGCGTGTGTCCTGACAGGGGAGGTCTGTTAGTAATCAAACACCTGCTGGCTTTCTGCTGCGCCACATCAATCACCTGTTAGCTTGAGCTCCAAACTCTTCAAACCACAGTCAGCTCACGGTAGGAGAGCTGTAGATGGGGGGTACGAGCGGGACATGGAGCTGGAAATTGGCCGTTGCCTCCTCTCACAAAGCCCCTCCGCTGAATGCCTTAATAAGAGAGAGGAGGGTTATAATGGAACTGCAGAGATGTTTTGTCTTGATTGAAGCTCAATTGCTCTCTTTTCGCCCAATACTAGAGGGTATCTGCTGCATACAATGAAGAAACACAATCAGCCAATCAAAGGCAGCTAGTTTTCCTGAATGGACTGTGATAGAGTGCTTTTGTGGCTTTATTACTAGGAAAGTTCACTCAAAAAATGAACATTTACTTCCAATTTTTTTGTTTTGTTTTCTGATGAGGAAATAAGAAGATATTTTAAAAGAATGTGGAAACAAGTAGCCATTGATGTGTATAGTAGAAAAAAATACTATTAATCTGTGGCTGCCGATATCCAGCATTCTTCAAACTCACTTCTTTTTGTGTTCCACAGAAGAATGAAGCTCAAATGTTTTTTTTTAAATATCGAGAGTGAATAATTAATGACATAATTTGTATTTTTGGTTGAATGTTCCCATTATGGTGGCACAGAGAACAGTGATACACGTGTCTGATGGCACTGTGCCAGGCTCTTTTGCATTCTTGTGCCAAAGAAGGGGGCCGTGCTGGTCCAGGGGGCCGAATAGCAAATATTTGTTTAAGTGTCAAAGACCGGCTGCACTTGTGGGTGGCTTTGTAAACGAGAGGACAGATGGAGTCCATGTTGGGTAAATGTGCTGGAAAGAGCTTTGAAGCAAAACGTAAAAAGCAATGGTGAAATATGCTATAGTCACAGGCCCTGTTTGCACCTGGTGTGAAGATCTTGGGTGATCTGATCGCAAGTGACTATTGAATTAGTGACTACTTACATCAATGACTACATATTTTCAATATTTGTGTATGTGGCATACTTATAAATTATAAAAGTTATTTACATGATAAGAATTGTTGATTGTAATGTGATGCAGATTATTTGTTTTAAAGTTATCAGCCCTCCTGTGAAATGATTATACTTTTTAAAATATTTCTCAAATGCAGGTTTAACGGAGCGAAGTGTTTTTTTCAGCACATTTTAAAATATATTAGTTTTATTAACAATTAATAATAATTTATAATGACTTATTTCCCTAAGGGGTGCAGTTTTAAGGAATAGCCATGTCATTAAAGTTTTTTTTTAAATATTTTTTTCCACATTTTTTGAATGCCTTGGACTGATTGTTGCTGTTTATTCTGATGAATCCCTTGCCCAAAGAGCACCAACACATTTCTGAAGTGACCCCTGAGCACTTTTTGTTGATTTTGGACTCATTTATTTTGTCTTTGCTGGAATTGCAATATTTAGCCTAAAATTCAACTCAAAGTCTATACCAGGTTAATTAGGTTAACTACTATAGGCAAGTTAGGTTAATTAGGCAAGTCATATAAAATAATTGGCTACTAATATTTAACACATTTTTCAACTTTTTTAAAAATATATATTTTTTTATTTCAGTCAAACAAAGAAACTTTTATTGAAGAAACATATAATAGGAAATACTGTGGAAAAAAAAACTCCTTGCTCTGTTAAACATCACTTGGAAAATATTTGAAAAATAATAAAAATTTAATAGAAGGGCTAATCATTTTGTCTTTTTCTGGATCTGACTTCTTTTTGAATACTATTAGACAATATAAAAACAGAATTATTTTTAAATGCAATATAATCTAAATGCAGCACAACTACATATTGTTTGCAATCTGATTATGTAATGTACTGTAGATTACATATAATCAGTTACTACCCAGATTAAGTACAAAACCAGCTAAAGTTTGTAGCAAGTTAATTCATTCATTCTCCTTTGGCTTTGTACCATCATCAGGGTTCACCACAGTGGAATGAAACACAAACTTATCCAGCATGCTTTACACAGCGGATTTCCTTCCAGCTGCAACCCAGCACTGGGAAACATCCATACTCATTCACACACATACACTATGGGCAATTCAGTTTTATTCAATTCACCTATAACACATGTCTTTGGACTGTGGGGGATACCAGAGCAGCCGGAGAAATCCCACACAAACTTGTTGCAAGCTTTTTTGTAAGTAAACTGATACATTTATTTAGCAAGGAAGAATGCAATTATTCAAAGTGGACAGTACAGCAAATTGCAATAAATCAAAAGATGGCTATTTCAAATAAAGTTTTTTTTTTTTTCTTCTGAGGCCCTTTTTACACCTATGGACATAAGTTTTTCAGTGATCATAAGTGGTGTTAACATGCATTCAAATGTGTCTTATTTGACCTTTTGTGTTGGGATTTACCTTTTATTTTGCCATGCTCTATGGCACACTCACCGAAGTGCTCAGTGTGATGTACCTGTACTATTGAATAAACAAGTTCATGAATTGCAACAAACAAGCAAGCAAATGAAAAGAATGTGGATGACATTAGCAATTTCAATCACAGTCCAGTTGTTTTGGTAGCAGAGTGTTAGTATTAACAGCAAATATTAATATTTAGATTTATTTATTCATTTATTTTCCTTCGGCTTAGTCTCCTGATGCATCAGGGGTCACCACAGAGGATGCTCTTTCAGCTGCAACCCAGTACTGGGAAAAATCTTTACACACTCATACATCATATGCTCATACATTATGGCCAATTTAGTTTATTCAATTCACCTACCGACACGAATATAGAGAGAACAAGCAAACTCCACACAGAAATGCTAACTGACTAAGCTAGGCCTTGAACTAGCAACCTTCTTGCTATGAGGCGATTATGCTACCCACTTTGCCACCGTGTCGCCCTCTATTTTGAGTTACACTCTTCATTTTATAACATAAACTTAACCTTTCTCTCTTCTCTCTTGCAGAATGTGTTGGCAAAAGCCCTGTATGACAATGTGGCGGAGTCTCCAGACGAGTTGTCCTTTCGGAAGGGCGACATCATGACCGTGCTGGAGCGGGACACGCAGGGCTTGGAAGGCTGGTGGCTCTGTTCGCTGCATGGCCGGCAAGGAATTGTTCCTGGCAACCGGCTGAAGATTCTCGTTGGCATGTATGATAAGCAGCAACAGCAGCAGCTACAGCAGTTAGCGAACCAACCCAGCCCAACCCAGAGCCTCATCAACCTGCCTCAGAGTGCCTACAACAAGATACCCCCTGCAGCCCAGTACACGGCCATGCACCCCGCCTTCACCCCCTCTGGCTCTGCCAACTCCACCAACCCAGACGGCGTTTACATGCTGCCCCCCAGCCATGGCTCTAGCCTCTACCAGGTGCCCTCCGGCCCCCCGACTCCACAGCCCCAACCCAAGGCCCCCGCTTTAGCAAAGAAGCAAACTCATGTGCAGTACCCTCCCACTACACAGGATGTCTACCAGGTGCCCCCCTCCATTAACGCACCAGGCCAGGACATCTACCAGGTGCCACCCGCTGCAGGAGGGCAGTGTCCCGGGCAGGACGTGTACCAGGTGCCACCCTCTGTGAACCAGACACAGGATGTTTACCAGATTCCCCCATCTTTAGACAGGAGCTGGGACTCTCCCAAACCCATGGGGAAGGTAGGGAAAGATCCTTTTGTATACACATATATGTAACACGTTTTCAGACATTTACTTTCATAATAAATAGCTTAACCTAAAAGCTGTATTTAATTTAATTTAATTTAATTTAATTTAATTTAATTTAATTTTATTTTATTTTATTTTATTTTATTTTATTTTATTATTTTATTTTATTTTATTTAACTAAATTTTAAAATTTATTTAAATTATTTTATTTATTTTAATTATTTTATTTATTTATTTATTTACTAATTTTTTTGTTTATTTATTTATTTATTTATTTACACACTTGAAATATTATTAATAATAATAATAACAATAATTTTTTTTAACCTCTAAAATATGTGATATTGTGATATTGTAGACAAAATTTAAATATCATTATATATTAAGTATTAATTGTATTGTATTAATTATTATGATTATGAATATCACTATTACTACTGATATTATTGCAACTATAATTTTATATTTTTATTTATTCTTTCATCTTGTAATCTCCAATTGATTTCTTTTAATGATTAGATTTAGATATATAATAAACATTTTAAAACCACATGAAATCCATCTTTTTTTTTTCCTAAACCATATTCCATGTCCTATTATTAAGAATTGACTGGCTTGTGTTATTATTATTATTTATTTATTTATTTTTATGAAAACATTATAAATAAATAAATAATTTTATTATATGTATGCTTTAAATTTTATTTTATTTTCATTATTTTTATGTTTTAAGTATTATGTAGTGTATTTTCTATCCTATTTCTATCCTACATAATTAATTGGTGAATATAAAAAACATTTGATGATAATAAATAAATGTTTATAATATAACCTTCTCAACTGTTACACTTTAAATTCATTTTTGTTGACCATTTTCATACATGAACTTGTGTGATAAAATATATAATGAAAAACATACAGAAATATGATGTGAGAAATATAGACTGACAAAAGGAGGGGTTATGAAGGAGGAGTGAAAGATGGTCATAAATAATGCAGAGTTTGATAACGCCGCTGACCGTGGGCCACACAGAGTGAGTAAGCAGTTTTTTTGAGTGGTAACTTCAGGTTGAAGCTATGGGCAGTGACCGTCTTTTGAGAGAGTGTTTCAGGCCACTCTTAGGGCACTGAGCCATACTGTATGCAGTGGAGAGGGAAATCAAGTGTAAAGATGGAGAGGTTCAGCTGCAGGCCTGCTCTGTGTTGGCCACCTGTCATATCTGATCTACCTACAGCAATAGTGACTCAGTGCCAATGCTTCTGCTCATCCTGTTCACTGTTATGTAGGTTTTTAAAACTGTAGCATGCTAATGTTGTTCATGTGTATTGCGCATCATTACTTACATGTTGATTACATAATAAACAACTGAAAGCAGGCAAGGCAACGCCATGGCGCAGTAGGTACTGCTGTCACCTCACAGCAAGAACGTCACTGGTTCGAGCCTCTGCTGGGTCAGTTGGTGTTTCTGTGTGGAGTTTGCATGTTCTCCCTGCATTTGCGCAGGTTTCCTCGGGTGCTCCGGTTTCCCCCACAGTCCAAAGACATGCGGTACAGGTGAATTGGGTAGGCTAAATTGTCCGTAGTGTATGAGTGTGAATTAGTGTGTGTGAATGTTTTCCAGAGATGGGCTGCGGCTGGAAGGGCATCCGCTGCGTAAAACATGTGCTGTATAAGTTAGCGGTTCATTCCGCTATGGCAACCCCAGATTAATAAAGGGACTACGCCAAAAAGAAAATGAATGAATGCATGAATGAAAGCAGGCAGGCAGTTTTAACTACCATGATGCATATTACCTTCTCATTGTGTGGAGAGTTTCCATTGCGAGAAATGACTGTGGTCACACCATAATACAGTATCGGGTTATACAGGGTTTCCACAGATCTGGAAAGGATAGAAATTTGACAGGGTAATTTCCAGGGATGGAAAAGTCAAGGAAATTAATAAAACATATCCTGTAGTGCAGGGTCTGGATCATGAGGGCACCGCAGGGAATTTGTCAGCTGATTAAAAATATATAAAATCATGAATAAAAAAGCATTATTAAAATTTTGAAATATTTATGTTTATCCATATGTCAGGAGATTTTTAAGAAATTTTAAGACAACATAAGGATTCTTTAATAATAAAATAATTTGAATATTAAGTAAAGATCATGTTCTATAAAGTATTTTGGTACATTTCTGACTGCAAATAAATCAATTTTATTTTATATCATAAATATTAACTTTATTTTATATCATAAATATCATTATATATTCATTCATTCATTTACTTTTTAGCTTAGTCCCTTTATTATAAATCAGGGGTCACCACAGCGATATGAACCGCCAACGTATCCACCATATGATTTATGCAGTGGATGCCCTTCCAGCTGCAATCTAACTCAGCGAAACACCCATACACTCCTGCATTCACACACAGACACTACGGCCAATTTAGCTTATTCAATTAACCTGTATCGCATTGGACTGAGGGGGAATCCAGAGCACCCTTAGGAAACCAACGCAAACTCCTTACAGAAATGCCAGCTGACCCAGCCAGGGCTTGAATCTGTGACCTTCTTGCTGTGAGGCGATTGTTCTATTCACTGCGCCACCGTGATGCCCCTATCATTATATGTGAAATTCAATATCATTGGAAAACTCACACTTGCATTGAAATTGACATTTATTACTGGTTTATGGTTTTGTGGTCTAGGGTCACATATGTATTTAAATTACTGAAGTAGTAGGTTAAAATGTACACTCACCGGCCACTTTATTAGGTAAAGCTTACTATTACCGGGTTGGACTCCCGTTTGCCTTTCGAACTGCCTTAATCCTTTGTGGCAAAGATTCAAAAAAGTACTAAAAATATTTCTCAGAGATTTTGGTCCATATTGATATGATAGCATCACACAGTTGCTGCAGATTTGTCGGCTGCACATCCATGATGCGAATTCCCCATTCCACCACATCCCAAAGGTGCTGATGCTCACTTTGAACTGCAGCAGATCATCTTGACCATGTCTACATGCCTAAAAGCATTGAGTTACTGCCATGTGATTGGCTTATTAAAAATTAGCATTAATGAGCAGTTGGATAGGTGTACCAAATAAGTGGTCGTTGAGTGTATGTATGTGTTTTTGAAATGCAATATGTACAATCCAACTTTAAAATCCCCAAATATCTGAAAAAATAATTATCATCAACATTCAAAGTAAACACAAGTTCTACTATTGAACCATTTACCATTCATTTAACATATCAATTTCATTCAAATGGTAGAAAATTTATAGAAATTAAAAAATGCTGACCTTAAGAGTTTTGATATCTAAGAAGAGGCTTATAGATTTCTGCATCTTGTCATTATATTAGCTTTAACTCAGCATTGATTTTGGTATTTTGGGTTATTTTTTATCTATCGGCAACCTCCTTTTTTCAAGCTACCAGATTTTTTTTCACTATGAACAGTGCTTGTCAGAACCGTCTCAGCTACTTTACAGCATCCTTCACTCCTTCTCATGTCATATGATTCACTGACAGCGAGTCAGTTGACATGAGTCAGTTGATAGAGTCTATGCTGCAAACCCAGAGACTGAAGGGTCAGTAACAATGACAGTGACCCAGAAACGTCCTGAACACCCTGAAAACCAAGTAGAAGCCAAGTATGATGGAACATAATGTCTTCTTCCAACTTGAACACTGTTGTTGGAGCAGCTTAAGAAGGAAAAGATTGAAAGAGAAGTACAGTATGAACCGGAAAGCACGACTTTTAATATTATAATGTCCTTCCGTGATCCTTCTCAGAAGCATTAGTTCTGTTTCTATTTGCAGGGCTTGTCTAGAGGTTTTCCTTTCATGTGGTTTATGAGGAGAGATTCTGATGTTTTCTCCTAACGTCCTCTATTATGATCACTTGTCCTTGTGCCCACAGTCCCTTCACCACTGGCTGTTTTTCATTATGTGATAAGAGTTCCTGTTGAGAGAGGAGAGGATGGACACACACATACACACACACAGAAACACAGACGCACACATAGCAGAGTGCTGAAAACACCTTTATATTCTTGCTCTACTTAATAAAGGTCTGCATTTCAGAGATGAAATACTCCATTTAGTTAACTCTCTGGAGGCACAAGCTAAACGAAATAATAGCTGTGGGCAGGTTTATGGGGTTTATGAAGACACAAATGTGTATAATGACATGGGAATTAAAATGTAAACAGTTTATGAGGACATTTCAAGTTTTCAAGTAACTCAAAATGATTCAGATTAATTAAATCATTTATTTCCTTTTCGGCTAAGTCCCTTTATTAATCTGGGGTCGCCATAGAGGAATGAACTGCCAAAACGGCTTATGTTTTACGTAGCGGATGCCCTTTCAGCTGCATCCCATCACTGGGAAACATCCATACACACTCATTCCCACACATACACTACGGACATTTTAGCTTACCCAATTCCCCTGTACCAATGCCAACTGACCCAGCTGAGGCTCAAACCAGCGACCTTCTTTCTGACGTGAACATGCTTCCCACTGTGACACTGTGCAGCCCGAATTCAAATTTATGTGTTTTGGAATTAAACATTTTCTTTGAGAGACAGTTAGGGTTAGGGGACAGAATTTACAGTTTGTACTGTATAAAAATAATTATGTATGTCTGTGGAGATTACAAAATAATTCAACTTATCCAGTAATTCCTGTTTTCACAAGAACAGTGGCGTTTAATTTTCCAGTATCTTTAACTACTTTGTACTAACATTGAAAATAATTTTAGTACAGTGTACTTAGTGTGTACATGTTTGTGCTTAGTTTTTTTATTGTATATACTGTTTCAATTGCATTATACTGTAGGTCCTTGATTTTTGCTGCTTTGTTGATTTTTAATGATGAAAAATATACTCAAAATTTTAAATGACCTTTATTGATATAAATAATAGTCTAAAACCTCATAGTGAATACGAAGTGTGACCAACCTTGACAATAAATTGTTTCAAACTACTAAAAA